CCAAAAATTTTTATATAGTATTATCATCATTAGATTAACAATGCTAAAAAGGAAAAAAGTGATTTTTAATTTGTCAAGGCCTAAATATTGAAATTTACCGAATGGGCAATCGAGATTCAATATTGAAAGGTACTAATTTTTACCATATTTAGGGTGCAAATTGACTTCTTTTTTTTTTTTTATTATTATAAGATTGGTTAAGAGGATAAAGAGAATGTGTGTGCAAATTTTGGAGTTATACAAATGCCAAAAACATGGTTTTCTATAAGATAAATGATCCTATAGGACCTTCCCCATCCATGTGTGTAGGACCCCAAAGGATTACCATTAAATTTGACACGGATCTATAGAAAAGTCAAGTCTCTTACCCATGTGATAACTTTTTTAGAAATCCATGCCAACTTTAATGGTGATTATTTGGAGTTCTATACACATTGGTGGGGGAGGGTCCTATAAGATCATTACTCTTTCTAAAAATGTAGTTGTATTATACTATGATACAATTGTTGCATGAAATCATTGCTCTTTGAGGTGAGACTTTATTTTGTTTGATTAGGCTTTATTAAAACTTCAAAAGAAAAATGGTTTGATAAGGTGAACTTTTTTCTTTTTCTGTTTTTGTAAAATCACAAAGGAAAAAGTTCATATAGAGCCAAGGCTCTAAACAATCAAATTAGAACCCACCTCCAAAATTTTACTAAAAGAGGTTATTTTGATACCCAAATATCCTCAAATTGATCATCTCGACATCAAGATGCATCGACATGAGAAACAACAGACTTCAAGTTTTGAAAATAATGCATCTTATAACGTATTTGGCACGGTCAAGTTTCAATATTTTCAATTTCCATAGATCTGCTTGATCTACACTATTTTTTAAACTTTAAATTTTATAATTAAAGATGAAAATATATATTAAGAGTGTCACAAATATTTTCCCACACTTCTCGACATATTTGAAAGTGTGCTTTACTTTAAGGAAAAAAAGATTATCTAAGGTTCCAACCTTAAAATGTAGAATTAAAGATGCACCTCAAAAATCTATTGGAAAAGGTTGTTTTAATATTGAAAAATCCTCTAATTGATCATCTCAACATCAAGATGTATGAATATGAAAAAATAAAATATTTGAGTTCCGAAAATAGTACATCTTGCAACACATTATCTAGACCGTTCATTTTCAAAATTTTCATATGTTTATAGATCTACTTGATTTTAACCATTTTTGGAGTTTAAAAATTTATAATTAGATATGAAAATAAATTTTAAAAAAATCCTAATAGTTTTTTATACCAAAATTATATTTTGTGCTAAAATTTAGAGGTGTGTCTTAATTGTATTGTTTAAGTTTGCAACTTTATAGAAACCACACCTTTAATTTAATTATTTAAAGTCCAATAATAAAGTCAATTCTTTTTGTTGGTATATGCTCCCAAGGTGAGCCAAGTCAATTTTTCTTATTTTTAACAGGGTACCACAAAATGATGATGCTCTTTGTACGGAAATTATTGGAAATATATATTTTTTATTATTCAAAAAAATTATATTTAGGAAAATAATTGGATAGGGCCGCAGCTCTATTAAAATAAGTAAAGCCTCACCTCATAATTCATCAAAAAATTACAATTCAAGCATTGGAAACCTTTACATCGATCTTATCGGCTTTAACATATTAGTTGTGGGCAAAAAAAAAGAGGATTTTAAGCACTACTTTTTTAGTTTCAAAATTTATTATCGGTGTTGAAAATTGATTTAGATCCATCATGAAGATTTCCGTTACTAAAAGTGCTTTTGATACGAGGATTTGAGGTGAAACTTTATTTTAATTTTATAAAGCCTGGCCCTATAGAAACTTCAACAATGTTTAAAAAGAAAATGGTTTGATTGGGCTGTAGCCCTATCAAAATAAATAAAGTCTCACCCCATAACTCATCGAAAATTACAATTTAAGTATTGGACAATCTTTACATCGATCATCTCGGTTTGAACATTATGGTTGTGAAAAAATTTAGTATCTCAAGCTTCAAAAATAGTATACATTTTAATAAATTTTATAGAAAGTCCATTTAGCCCTAAAAATAAGTGTTCTTAAATCCATAAGATCAGCACCATTTTTTTAGTTTCAAATTTTATTATTGATGTTGGAAATTGTTTTACATCCATCATGAAGATTTATGTTATCAAAAGTGCTTTCCAGACAAGGATTTGAGGTGAGGCTTTATTTTATTTTCATAACCCCTAACCCTTATAAAAATTTCATCCTTTTTAAAGAACTTACATCCATTCTTATTTGTTATATTTTATAATAACCAGAATACCCGTTAGGTCCATAAAGGTTGAGACACTATGCCCTGAGCATAAGTAGCAGCCAGGGGCTCCACTGACCTATTAGATCCATGAAGCACCTAGAAATCGAGGAAGTAGACTTCATGAACCTATTTAGGAGTGGCAACGAGTTTGGGTTCGGGTCCAGGTCTAGACCTAACCAAAAAATTAGAATATCTACATATTTAACTATATTTAAATATATTTTATATATTGGGACTCAAAAATATATTAAGATCTTGCTTTGTGTGACTAAGATCTTCTATGGCTAAACTATGTGCTCCTTGTAGTGCTTCTTTTTCTTCCACAACCAAACTTATCATTTCATTTACAATTGTGCTCCCAATAATTTATACAAATTTCATTCTCGAAGTCCCTTCATCATAACGAGAGTCCCCTTTGAAACTTTAACAATTTCACTTTGCCTAGTAAATTTGTATCCTTCTATATCCAAAGAAGAAATTGAAATCAAACTCTTTTTCAAATTTGTCAAGTACCTCACATTTTCAAGAATTCAAACCATTCCATCATCATCATTATGTGAACTGAGCCCATTTTGATCATTTTTCTCATTGAGTTGTTTCTCATTGATGCTAAAATACCTTCATATAGCTTATATGCAACATCCTATGATCTATGTAGCACATTTGATATGTGGCTCCACTATCAAGAACCTAACTTTGACAACACATGGGATGATTGCATCCTACCATGAACACCTCATTTTCGACATAACTGGATGTTGATTTTTCAACTTGGTGAGCTTCATTCTCGGCCTATCCTTGCCCTTCCATTCTCGAACCGTAACCCTTCAAGGAATTTAACTTTTTTCTTTCCCAACAATTTTTTTTAGAGGGCTGAGTTTGCCACAAAACCAACAACCTTTGGCCTCAGACCCCTCAACTTTAAATGACTAACAACCCATTCATCCAACTGGCCTCTTGCAACAAGTACATCCTGAGCCAATCGAATCATCCATCGATATCTTCTTTCGAAGTTCATTTGCAAGTAGAGCGTTACAAACCAAATCCCATTTGAGGGATTCTTCATTAGCAACATTATTATAAGATTTTGATAAATAT